ATGAATACCTTGTACTGTGTCAAAATCCAGTGAACCTCAGTTTGAATCTCAGATTCACCCTGATTATGGTTCTAGGTTTGTCTGCACCACACCCATGCCTGTGTGTTCCACCACAGTGATAACATCTAAAACCTGCATCACTTGCGATTTCCTCTCAAATTAGGCCGAGATGCTGCTAGCTAACTGGAATCATGTTCAACTCAACTCACTCACAAAACACGGGACCCGTGAAGATCCGGGGTAGAATAGGTCTTCAGCAACCCATGCTTGCCATAAAAGGTGACTATGCTTGTTGTAAGAGGCGACTAATGGGATCGGGTGGTCAGCTCTCTGACTTGGTTGATGCATGTCATCGTATTCCGTTGCGTTGATCAATGCCCATGATGTCAATCACTGGATTGTCTAGTCCAGACTCGATTATTTACAGACCGCTGTCATATAGCTGGAATATTGCTGAGTGCTGCGTTAAACAACAAATAACCAACCACTATACAAGGATCCAGGGTAACCATGACAACACAGAGCCTGCTTTCTGTAACCAATTGAAATGTTAATTTCAAAATTTCGAATGAACTGCATATTGAATTTAATGACAGGACAACCCTCTTGATAGCTCAATTGCATGATCTTACACAGCTGGGCAGGAAGACTACAGCACTAATTCAACTCTCTTATCAATCGTCATTATAGTGATTTTGCCAACCTACACTCAGTATACACTGCTTGATAGTCGCATGCCAAAATATGCACACTTCTCAAAGGCTGAGAGAGTGAATGAGTGAATGAGTGAGAGTGATTGACTGAGTGAGTGCGTTATTGAGTTTAACGCTGCTTTGAACAGTATTCCAGTTACTGTATTCTACACAATAAGCGCCCAGGGCGCTCTCAAAATTAGAAATAGTGAGTGAGTGAGTGAGTTGGGTTTAACGCCGGTTTCAACAGTATTCCAGTTATATCGCTGAATGTGGGAGGAAAGCCCGAAGTGATGCAGGTCTCAGACGTTTACCACTTCGGTGAAACCAACGAGCATGGGTATGGTGCTGACAAACCTAGAAACGTAATCGGGGCGAACCGGGATTCGAACCCACAATCATAGGTTTATGGCATGCTAAAGAGACGCAACTTTGCACAGCGAATCGCGGCGCTAAATGTAAATGACAATAAGGATAACATGACCAAGGGATGCAACTCTGCACAGCGAATTGCAGCGCCTTAGATGACTGGGCCACCCGTGCCCCCACTTAATCATCGAAAGGTTGTGATGACTAACACAATAACTCCCCTCTTGCCAAGCATCATATAAGTGAGAACCGGCAGAGATTCTGAGAAGGCATACAGGTCTCTAGCAACAAATGCTAGTCGTAATAGGAAGACAAAATGGATCAGGCAGTCAGGCTTGATCAATCACATATCATCATATCCAATGTCGTTCAATGCTCATGATGTCAATCACTGGATAGTCCGGTCCCAAGTCACATAACTGAAATAATGCTGAGTATGGTGTTAAACAACAACAAAACAAACAAATCACATAGTCAAGTTTCCCGAACCAGATATTTTAAATGATGGCCTACTCTCCACCAGTTTCGACCTTTAAAATTTTAAGTAAGACTAGGTTTTCTTGAAATACCTGACTGCAGAATAAACAAAGGTGTTACTTAACGCCGACCTGGAGCCTGTGCACAGAGATTGCAAACATGCAGCCCTCTAAGTCAGGACACCTGCATTCGCTACAAAACTCGTAACCTTAAAACGTGAGACCAAGGACAACTCACATCTAAAAGTACAAAAAATTGCCTAGTCCATTAAACATTCGAAAATATCTTCAAACTGAATTATGATTATTTGCCCATCATGCTCATAACAGAGAAGATGGAAGTTGTGACATTAATGACAGTACCTATTCATATCTTGTTTGGAAATATAGCAAAAAATATTTATTATTAACAGACAACATATGGTTGAACTATGAGTCATTACCTTAATTATTCTTGTACAAGAAAAGTCAAATGTCTTCAATTTAATGCGGGGCGGTCGGGTAGCCTAGTGGTTAAAGCGTTAGCCCGTCACGATGATGACCCAGGTTCGATTCCCCAAAAGGGTACAATGTGTGAAGCCCATTTCTGGTGTCCCCCGCTGTGATATTGCTGGAATATTGCTAAAAACGGCGTAAAACCATACTCACTCACTCAATTTAATGCATATAAGTTTATATATCATTAAACATAATGACGAGCAACACTTCATTCACATTAAAACAAAATACTTTGGAATACTTACGTTAATAAATCTGTACAATATGTTATGATTTTTTTCACTATTTTCATTGAATGAATGCAAAGATCATTTGATCCGAGTCCGAGGGAGGAACTGACTTGTCAGACATATAATTAAATATTCCTATACAAAAGCATCAGGAAATGAAAAACAATAAAATTATCATAGTCAGTAGGATGTTCCCATGACAACCCCAATACTCAGGAAGCAATGGGGCTTTTTCAAATCAAGCCTTTATTTGCAGTCGTTTGAAACAAAGCATCACCACTCAGTTGTACTTGTCATGCTTCTTGTCGCGATAACACAAATACTTATCAGGGCTGTTACCGTGGTAAGTATTGACAGATGTATCAGTATACATGGTATATGACCTAAAAAGCTTGTACCATACCCTCAGGTTATGTATCGATACAAACTGGAACCTGTTACCATGTTTAAGTTTTATATAATAGCAGCGTTCGAAATACCTGCCTGCCCGACCGTCCGAGACGGTTTGATTTCAACTCGGGCTGTCAGATTATCAAATCCCCCTGCCCGACGGTCGGGTTATATTTCATAGGTGAAAATATTCTAAATATTTCTCGATGATAAGCATTAATTCACATGTAAAGATGAATGATAAAATGTAACCAAAAAGAAACCCTGTTAGCTTTTAGACAACCTAACATTTAGCGATGCGCTTATGCTACAAGCAATCAGTTTTCATATTTTTAATTAAATCATCCTGAGAAACATATGATTATCGTGGGCAGGCAGGTTTTGGTCAGGGCTGACAAGTATTTCATCTAGCCAGTCCTGTGGTCTGGCTGAATTTTTTGGGAGTTTCATACCCTGATAATAGTGAGTGAGTGAGTGAGTATGGTTTTACTCCGCTTTTAGCAATATTCCAGCAATTTCACGGCAGGGGACACCAGAAATGGGCTTCACACATTGTACCCAGGTCGGGAATCGAACCCGGGTCTTCGGCGTGACGAGCGAACGCTTTAACCACTTAGCTATCCGACCGCCCCTTTTATATAATACTATCATGTTTTCATCATAATCTGTATCATATATCGTGAAATAAGAATACATGAATAATGATTCCTATATCAGGATATTTTAGGACAAGCATATTGTTTCAGGCTAAATACTTATCAATAACACTATATACTAAGGGATAGCCTAGTGGTTATAGCTTAGCTTCATCAAGCCGAAGGCCCATGTTTGTTTTCCACATGGGTACAATGTGTGAAGACCATTTCTAGTGTCCCCTGCCGTGATATTGCTGGAATATTGTTAATAGTGGCATAAAACCTCACTCACTTATATATATACCTACCGTATTCGACGTAATAAGCGCCAAGGGCGCTCTCAAAATAGGGGGCTCTTATTAGAATAATATTTTGGTGGAAAAAAACAGAGTTGAAAGATAAATTTCATGGTTTATGCTGACGGTCTGAACTGTTTATATACGACAGATATATTTTTCCAGATTTTAATTGCCCATAATTAAGGGTGCATATAACACACGAGTGCATATTATACACGAATAAATAAGTCTTGTGTACATTGATCAATCGGAAGGGATGCTAATTGGGATTGTTTACTTGCCAACATATTAGCAAATATCGCTGTGGGCGATTATTAGAGCGGGGCGGTTATTACGTCAAATACGGTATGTGTTTCAGCCATGCTCTCTTGGGATAAAAGCTATGTACAAGGTAAGAAAATTATGCATCACTTACAGACTTGAAATCCATGTCATAACATTACAACCACCTGTTTCTGGCATTGGAATAAGCTGCAACTTAAATACTGGGCGCCGTTCCACAAAGCGATCTTAGCACTAAGATGATCGTAAATCCCATGCTTTGGCATGGACAGGATAGTCGTGCTGTTAAAACAGCTTTGTGGAATGGGACCCAGATGACTGGCAAGTAGGTTCTAATTGTTTTGATTTTGTCATCATGAAACATGTTAAATCGATAAGACATGTAACCATAAATAACATCAAAATATAGACAATATGTAATCTTTTCATCAACTAAACCATGAATATGTCTTGATTGAGTATTTATAGGACAAATCGAATTGAAGATGTAGGTTCATCACAGCTGTTTTCATTAATAAAAATAAAATCATTTCACAAAGACAAATTCGTAACCAAGAATAGATCATCGTATACAATTATACTTACAGTCAGAGAAATGACTGTATAAGTGAATAGCATAGCTATAAAACATGACAAACACTTCTAATGATTCACTCATCATCAAGGACAGTCATGTAAACAAACAGCACAAGGAGAATAAGCAGGATTATAACAATTAGCCATCAAACTGAACTTCAACTACACTGGTGACAGTGTTTAAGAATCATAAGCAACGGAAAACATGATATTCACAATGGATATCAGATAGCAAAACAAGATAGGATAAAGAGCTCACATTATTGATGCATCACACCTGCCCGAGACCACGACAGTTCATGATTCACTCTCCACAGCCATCGTTACGCCAGACAATACAAATATCTCGACCATTGTTCCCCATTCTTACGTTTTCCAGTCATGGCTCAGTGGCCATGACTTTGAGGATGCACAAATCTATGAGATATATATAGAAATGTCACGCAGTGCCAGATCAAAGTGGTTTGGCCATCTGTCAATTCAACAATAGCCAGACGCCCGTAAAACTAGTCCAAATCGAGTTGGCCCTCGTTTTCCGCTCAAGCGATCTTACCTTACTTCATGCTCAGGGTATCCTAAGCAAGTAGAGTGTTTTGTGGTAAATAAGCATTACTCGTGTAATCTGTATACACTGTCAACATCTTGCTGACACTCATGCCCTGGTTGTTTGTACGGAACAGATGCTAGTGGGGTGACAACTAGTTGTAGCACCAACCTGCAAGATGAGGGCGTCTGTTGACTGTCTGACTAATCAATATGACCTCTTGCAGATGAACAAGACGCGAGAAACTAGCTACGCCTGAATTTAGCGATACTGTGACCAAAGCAGGTAAATAATCTGCCCTTGAAGGATACCCCAGGCCATAAATATAATATCATGTCATCGGCTCAGCTATAATATCCATATGTGCAGTAATAATAAGAATGGATTTTATCATTCCTAAAACAAAATCCTATTCATCATGTTCATGGACTTAGTCGTGTATATTAACATTAATATCATCATGAATATATACACAATCAATTGCTGTAAGAATTCAAAGAATTTCTGTATCATGGTACAAATATTGTTGGATCGGGTCATATATCAATTCAATACATCAGGGATATGTTAACAAGTTCAGTATTGTACAATACTATTGTCTGAGAACAGAAGATTTCTTCAGACATTATTAGGCGGTTGGGTAGCCTAGTGGTTAAAGCGTTTGCTCGTCACGCCGAAGACCCGGGTTCGATTCCCGACGTGGGTACAATGTGTGAAGCCCATTTCTGGTGTCCCCCGCTGTGATATTCTTGGAACATTGCTAAAAGCGACGTTAAACCATTCTCACTCACTCACTCACTCAGCCACTGTTTGTTTAACTCCCTCGGAGGTTACTAACACTGTCATATCCCATTATTTAATTCTGGGGGAGTCGGGGTTGGGGATGAGGCTGGGGATGGTGAGAGGGTTTGACAATGGCTCAAAAGGACAGAAGGATCACAAGACAAGTATATAAATTCCTCTGGAATTGTTACAGAATAATAACTTGTCCATTTCGATTGGTCCATTGCTAATCACCAATCAGCACCAATTAACTGTTGGCTTCTCTTGTTAGACCCGTGAAGATTCTGGGGTAGAATAGGTCTTAAGCAACCCATGCTTGCCGTAAAAGGTGACTATGCTTGTCGTAAAAGGCGACTAACGGGATCGGGTGGTCAGGCTCGCTGACTTGGTTGATGCATGTCATCGATCCCAATTGCGTGGATCGATGCTCATGATATTAATCACTGGATTGTCTGGGCCAGACTCGATTATTTACAGACCGCCGTCATATAGCTGGAATATTGCTGAGTGCGGCATTAAACAACAAACCAACCAACCAACTTCCCTTGTTAAGTTTCTACCTTTGTTATCTTATTACTTCTGTTGTTCTTACAGGTACATATATATATATATATATATATATATTCTCTGCTTCCTAGCATTTATTCACCTGATGAAGGAGTAATAAAATACTTTGAAACATTGTTTTACTCATAATATAAAAGTTGACATCCATAAATTCTCTTAATTATGGGTATCACTTCTAAATGCCATTCAAAGACTTGATAATTTGTCACTGTGGTTGTCACTCTACTTCAGGTGCCCTCCTTCTAGTTCGTCTTTGCATCCCTGAACAGAAAGTGAATTATAATAAATAATTTTCTTTTTCTTCTTTGTATATTGTTCCCAGAGTTGTAGAGTAAGACAGTATTCCATCAAAACATATTTCTGATTGCATAGAATGACACAATACACTCCTTAAAAATGTAAAGGTTTGGAAAACAAACACTGTCACATTTCAAACCCAAAAGATTGCAACACACAATCAGACTCAAACACAGCATGTATCAACAGAGAGCTAAGAATCAAATGCAGAGAATAAAAGTGAATTATAACCAATACTATTAAAAATTCTAAACCACAAGTAAAGCAGCAGGCAAAAGTCTCAGGATCAGTACAAAGAAGTCTTACTAACAATGACTTAAGGACTTATGATAATGTTAGGCAGCTGGGTATATAAACACAAGGACAAGTGTCCACTTAGACAGCTAGCCCTTCAAATATGTTACTTGCCCCTAAACATGTTGAATGTATCTTGGATGCTGGAATATTTTGATGACAGAGATGGAGTGCCTTGTTGGAAATAACCCACTCCTTAATGTTAAATAACTGAATCAGACAGGCCCACCTTAAACACTACAGCACTGCTTTAAAACTGTCTTGAGGGGTTCTTAAACATTTAACAGGGGTGGTTGGGTAGCCTTGTGGTTAAAGCGTTTGCTCATCACGCTGAAAACCCGGGCTCGATTCCCGACATGGGTACAATGTGTGAAGCCCATTTCTGGTGTCCCCCGCCGTGATATTGCTGGAATATTGCTAAAAGCAGCGTAAAACCATACTCACTCACTCACTTTAACATTTAACAAGGTAACTGCAGACAAGTATCATGGTTTTCATCAGATAAAAATAACATGTCATCAATGACCTCTGAATTATGTTGTTGGAACAGGATAGATACACTAGACGATGTCAAGACCAGCTCAATTCAGACATAATGACCAATAACATTATTACCTAATTCTTATAATTATTTCCAGCCTCTGGCTACTGGACAGGTAGGTGCAGTCCCTAGGTTAAGTCACAACTAAGCACTTCCAGTGAAACTTGACACCCCGTCTGCTTGTGGGTAAAGAAATTAACACAATTCAAGCTGATGAGTATAAAAATACCTGGCATACCGGTAGACACTGACAAAGGCCTCCCTGTCCGTGGGACTGGGAGAGGTGTACAGAGAAACTATACCACATACTGAGGCCATGTGCAGGTTCTCCTGGGGGCGATGTACTGACACTTCCAACAGGACCAAGCATACCAGAATTGGTCCAATATCTACCTGTGTTGAGAGCTGTAATCTGAACTGAAGGAGCAGTGGGGTGGTCTAGTGGTTAAAGCGCTGGCTCGTCACGCCGGAGCCCCAGGTTTGATCACCACATGGGTACAATGTGTGAAGCTCATTTCTGGTGTTCCCCCGCCATGACATCGCTGGAATATTGCTAAAATCTGCGTAAAACCATACTCACTCACACGCAAGAAATGAAGGGATCTTATCAGCATAATTAGTGACAGGTATTGGCCATGTTATCAGCATAATTAGTGACAGGTATTGGCCATGTTATCAGCATAATTAGTGACAGGTATTGGCAATGTTATCAGCATAATTAGTGACAGGTATTGGCCATGTTATCAGCATAATTAGTGACAGGTATTGGCCATGTTATCAGCATAATCAGTGACAGGTATTGGCCATGTTATCAGCATAATTAGTGACAGGTATTGGCCATGTTATCAGCATAATTAGTGACAGGTATTGGCCATGTTATCAGCATAATTAGTGACAGGTATTGGCCATGTTATCAGCAGGTCATATGGTAGATATGACTTACGCCACAATCCCCAGTATAATTAACATATTTTTGGGTCAAATAACCTTCCCTTACAAACGTCATTATGTTAATATAAAAATTTACTGGAAAATGATGTCATGTGACAAGAATCTAAAGGTTTTGGCACAGACTGAAAATATACGAGTGGGTTGGGTGATCTGAACAGTATACATGCTATTTCAGTCGAATCTTGGCATGTCTGCTTAATGTTGGAGGTAAGCAGGTCGTGGACAATTTACCACTTTACTGTCACCCAGCTAAAGCTGTTTGCACCACCCCCGCTCTATAAGCTGTTCAACACTCTTCAAGAAGTTACATTTTCTGATGGATGTATTCTGATAAACAGACATCGGCTTCACACACTGTACCCCAATATGGAACCAAACACAGGCCTTTGGCATGACGAGCAAACACTTTAACCACTAGGCTGCCCCACCACTCTCAGCGGACATTTTGACCACACAATCCACATTGGTTGCCTACAATCACAACCTCCCCTGTACCCATACAGTTGTTGAATCAGATCATAACCTCGCTATTTTAATTCCTAACAAACTCAATTACGAAATCCTACCTTCACTGCAGATGAATCCACGAAAACATTTCAAACACATATGAACAATATCTGAACACGGCACCAAATTTTAAACATCAATCTACAGGGCTGCTAGTCGGAACAATTAAAATTCCCTGCATCAAACGTGTTAGAACATCATCCACACGTGTGACTCATTTCAGACTAGTACACGAAAGACCCTAAATGTTACGATCGAAAAACTAACCTGTCACTTTCGGGGGAAAGTTTAACTTATGCTTATCTTACCGTCTCACCAACTAATCACAAATGCAGACAGCAGTCTTATTGGGCTTGTTACCAGTACATGCACCACTGCATCACATCAGCTGAGAATGTAATTTTGATCATGTGGATAAAGCGTGTGGAATTCAAGGGGAGATAACTGTAGCAAAGCACCTGCTAAAACACAGGTGTTGATAGTGAACAGCTTAACATAAAGGTGTTTCGACATTATCTAGAAACTGAACTTGTTTCTGAGTTGGTCATGATAATCTTCATCTAAGTGAGGTCTGGTTTTGTCTATAAATTTGAAGCAGAACTAGAAGTAAATCAGTTCAATATCTTCACGGAAAATATCCACATAATTATATCTTGAATACGTGTGTATGGTTTTACGCCGCTTTTAGTCTAGCAATATCACAGCTAGGGACACCAGAAATGTCCTTCACACATTGTACCTATGTTGGGGATCGAACCTGGTTAATGACTCGCGAATGCCTTAACTACTAGGCTACCCCGCTGCCCCAATTACGTCTTGAATTAACATATATCATGATATATCCTCAAGGAAAATACATATGCCTAATATTAAGGTTTTAATATACGAAAAGATGCTGATTATTACAAAAAATACTAACTGGCCTTTTCTAGGATATATCGGAAGATGATTGACATGTTAATACTGTACTCATCAAAACCAAACTTACCAAATAAACTACAGTACTAAGTGATAGTGAGTTGGGTTTAACGCCGCTTTTAACAGTATTCCAGTTATATCATGGAGTGTCAGCTTAATGTGGGAGGGAAGCCCGAAGTGATGCAGGTCTTAGACGTTTACCACTTCGGTGACACCCATGAGCCTGGGTATGGTGCTGACAAACCATGAAACAAAATCAAGGTGAACCACGATTTGAAACCTGGATCATAG